GACAGGGGGCCTTCCTAAGGATGCTGTCCGACAAGCAATTCACAGCGAAGAATATGTTCAAGCTGCCTGACGACATATTGAACAAAAGCCACGCAATATTCACGTCCTTTTTTGTTTCTTTTTTATATACTTGATAGTGCTTTGTGCCCTGTAAATTCATTTATTCGTCGTGAATCAGTTCCAAGCGCTTGATAAGGAGACCTCCAGATATAACCTCACTGAGAAGCCTATAATTACTGTAGTCACCCAAAAACAGTTGTTCCAAGATTGGACATGATCTGTGGCGGGTCAGAAGCTGAATTGTTAGGGGTAGGGAATACCTAACATCCGAAAATTCAGTTTCTGATTCCATGCGTATGCTTCGTGCCCGTCTAGGAGTGGCGTTATCCCTAGCGCCCGCCCTGACTTCTAAATATTGACTGACGAATACTGAACACATTTCTGTTCGACACAACTTCAATTGGGCCTACAGGAATCTCCTAATTTGCATTTATCGACATCTCTGCTTTTCCAAATTTAGTCCTGGAGAATCATCTCTTTATCTCGCCTGCTGCCTAGCTGGTTCACTTAACAATGTTTTGTGTTCCCTAGTTTTACTGATGTTAAGATGTGAATTAATGTAGCGCACCTAAGCGTGCAATAAGTCCCCGCTTCGTTACTGGCGTCGTACGACCGACTGGCTAGCTACTCGTCGCAATTCTTTAGCAGGGAGAGCGTTAGCAATGAAGTGGGAATCGCACCAATGCAGCAATCAACAGGCAAGGAAGTGAAGTGGTTATTTTCATGGGTTTCGGGATGTTTCCCATGATTTTCTCTTCAGCCTGCACCACTGACCCTTCTACCATAGTTCCGATGGGCTGCCTTCTAATCGATAGTCTTCAAGGTATGACGGTGTGCTCGTTTTCAAAGGTACACTTTTTGTTCCGGAATTTGTTCGTGGTGCTAAAACAGCGCACGAGTTATACGAGCGCTCAGTTCATCGTCGATATTCAGAGCAGACTGAGAAATCGATTTCAGGTATGCCCAGGTAAACCCACTGTGGTCTAACCATAAGTGCGGGCCACCTCAAGGCAGTGTGTAAGATGAATATGGGCGAATGGTTTTTATGTACGCACTGAGCGTGTTGGAGGGTGAGTGTTTAGGATATGGGTCTAACCACACCCCTTTAGCGCCCTGAAGGGTCTGGGCCACAAATAATGCGGACTGACGTCATGGAGACTCTACTACCTCTCAGCCACAGCTCTCATTCCTTCAAGATTGCGTGCTATTTTGGACTAACTAATGGTGAAGATAAACACGACTAATGGTGAAAACAAACAAAAAAGTGAACAAACAATCTCAATGTAATATTTATTTTTTCAATTTGTTCAAGTACCAATTCAATCAAGTTTAATGACCCGCTCAATTTCGATATTGTAGAAAGTCATGGGTCATTTAAAAGATACCCGTCAAAGAAAAAACTCACATAGAAACAGCAAATTCAGCAAATTTCCTAATTTTTCAAACGCTAAGCTGATGAAAAAGAAGCAGAATTCCATTTGTATTCTGCGTCTCTGCTCGCTGAGAAATTGTGACACATGTATTGGAAAAGACTAGAGAAATGCTGGACGTTTGTACATTATCACTGAATGGTGCTCCACCAGTAGGAGCGCTCTGATTGTTCCAGCACCGCGAGTACTGCAGTCAGTACTGGGTCTCGCATTTTATCAAATTGAGTCGGCGCTGCGGACTGCTCTCAATCGGGCTGGCACCGGTCTCCCATAGATGACGAATTTTTGTTAGCGGATTTGAGAGAAGGGCAGGTTTCTGCAAAAACAAACATTTTTTCAAGAAATCTGATGGTAAATTTGAATTTTCAAAAAAAAACTGTTATATTCGGGAATATGAAGTATAATCACCTACCCTGTTGGTATCAGGAACTACCAAACGGATTTCGTGGATTTCCAGACTGTTTCTCGCTAACAGGTCCGTTGCAGGATGTGCGTCAAAGCTAACTCTGGCACGAGGGGGATCTGTAAAAAAAGCGCTAAGAAAAGTACCCCCAGAATAAGTCAAAACCACTCACCGACAGAGAGTAGATTCCCTGTGTACATTTTTGATGTGCTCTCTTTAGCTGCTGCATGTATGAGCATTGAAGTAGCCGAGACCCGATGTGAAGTGAGAGCCAGCTGGAAAACCTCGACGTTAGGTGGATTTGACCTACAACTTAATTCAGAAACCAACCTGTTCACTCCTAGTCGGATCAGTAAGACCAGATGGCTTGTGTCGTGACATTTCCAACTCGGCCAATGCCGGCCAATCTTGCAAGAACTTCCTGAAACACAGTAAGTCAGTACAACAATTACAGTACCCTAAGTCAATTTCAAAAAAAAAACTCTGAAAGAAAGAAAAATATTTAGAAACTCTTACCTATAAAGTGGATCAGGCAGACACGAAAGGAACGTCTGCATGAATACATTCCGGAATTTTCGGCTCATAGCGCAATAAATCAGGAAATTCACAGCCGAGTTGAGCAAAGATAACAAATCCATCAGATCTCCAAGTGGTAAGTATATCTAAAGATTTTAGCTATTATTTATGTATTATCAGAATAACTTGTAAATATGCGCCATGGGTGAAGAAAATTGATTTTATTTCAAGCATTTAGCTCATATTTTTATTAAATGAAAAAGATATGGTTCCATATAATGAACTCGTCAACTGTATTCGAATACAGCTGGGCATAAGCAGATCTGTTAAGCTAACCAGGTCGTGGTAACGATGAGTTAAAAGGTAAGTACCCTGCGATTTTTACAACCTCACGGAACTTTTAGAATAGAGAACTGAATTTTCCAAGTGTCTATCCCACCTTCTAAACCCCGCTTCCACCCACTGAGTACCTACCCCACTTCGAGCAGGGCGAAGTTGCGGCCACCGGCGTCCGAAAGATGTGTGATAATTCTCTGGCCCCATTTCTCTCTCTCAGCGCTCCAACAAGGGTTCCTCCTTCCTCAGATTTTGTGGGAAAACTTTTCTTGTTCAAAACTGGCGTTACACAATTGCCTTACTCACCCTCTGATAAAATGTTTCATTGGAGTAGATGGCATTGCAGACGTGCAACATCCCCTGAGGAAGTTCTGCGACGAGAAATATCGACAAGACAGCCACGAGCATCGGAGTTGTGTGATCGCGAGGCATTCGCTTCTTGTTCATTACCTGAAAATTTTGCTTTCAAACTCGAAACAATTGAAACTAATCGAGCTATTCAGTACAGCGCTACCGAATTTACTTCCACTGGTTTGGCCATATCGGGTCAAGGACAAAACAGCAATGCATCGAGTCGCTGCTACCAATAATTTCTTAAGCCTTAAGTTACGAAGCAGCGAGGCAGAACCTCGCTAAACAGTGTCCCGCACCCTTACAATTGCCCCACCAAAATGGCGGCCAATCTGTGCCGCTTTGCTCTGGCTCGTATTCAGGGTAGAAAGACTGAACCTCACTAATTGTTTTCAACTCCGCCCACCATGTAAGCCACGCCCATCAAACGAGGTTATTGATAAAAGCAAATGTCATTGTAGAGAGTATTCCGATTTCTCTACTAGAACGTCTAACGAATAGCGGTTACATGTACCTCGTCTGGGACTCACTAGATCCGAGAAACTGAAGACTTCTGTCAAAACAGGCTCATATTTCCAAAACTAGGCCTAGAAAATATCCGAAATTTACGGTAGGTTAGTCTAAAAGCCGTCACAGTTCATGTAAAAGCCGAAATTATATTTGAGACTAAAACTTGGAGTGGGAAAAAGATGCATCCCACATCCTATAGCTATATTCAGGATCGAGATCCAGGTCTACTCATCAACACAAAACATGTAAAACAAACCTGTGCAAGACTTTTCCGTCGATGCGAGACATCACGGATAATCTTCAAAAGGGCTATGATCGAAACGGTTAGCAGTGTGCATGGCACAACTTTGAAGAGAATACCATTCGTCCAAAAGGCTACCTAGAATGTCAATGGTTGAATGATTAGCTTTTTTGCTTGGACTTTGGTAGATACTGTAAACTTTGCTGGATAACAACTACTCTACAACCTATAATTCTATTGGGAAGAACCGATAATAATGAGAAGTGTGCAGCTCAATAGAAGCATTATAGTAGTTCACTTATATAAACGGTACATTCAGAAAGCTTAAACTTTTGAAAGAAGAATGGGAGCGGGAGAAGGAAGAGGGTTAAAGGAATCTTCCACGGAAAAAGCTCCGCCTCCATTACCACAGAAAAACGATACCTTAGGCCCCTAGCCTCATGAGCATAGCAAAAAGAACGGAACATAAGCGTTAGTTTCGATAATACTAATCCTACACACAAGACAAAATGATCACTCTTTCCGTGGAAGATTCCTTTAAGGTATCGTTTTCTGTGGTAATGAGGGCGGAGCTTTTTCCGTGGAAGATTCCTTTAACAAGGGCGGATAGAAAAGGACTCAAATTGCTAGATCAAAAAACTGAAAAATTCGAAATCTCAAATCCGAAAACTCATGAAAAGCTGCATTTTCGTTCGTTTCGAGGAACAATTTTTTTTTTCAAGCAATTCTTCAAAAAAAAAAAAGCCCAGATATTAGCTATTGTGAGAATGTTTCCTGACCTTGCAGCAAGAAGCAGTCTCTTAAGCTCGGACATGGAAGATCTTTCGCCGTAGATCCCGATTTGTGCGTTTTGTCACCCAAATATATCAATGATCAATCGCTGCTAATCCTCAATCTCCTTGTAGTAGTTTCTTGTGATGCTGCGCTCAAAAAGGTAACACAGTTGGATCGGCTTTCACAATCTGCTGAAATATTTTAGGTAAAATTCGATTGGATTGAACTAGCAATTTTCTCAGCCAAAAGGAAAAGAGAATCCGGCGGTATTTGTTAGTCTTCTATTGTTCTGATGAACGTCATAAGTCTCATAAGGGAAGATCCCGGAATAGACAGAGGGGCTCGAGCCTTTGGCCAGTTTTGTGAGAAAATCAGAAGGAGGTAGTTTCTATAAAAGCAAGAGAATGGAAAGTTTGGGTAAGGCCGTTCCATAGGAGATGGCGGTGAAATCAAATACTACCCAGAATACAGCATAATTGAATGCGCACTCGGCCCAGGGTAGCGTATACAGCTGCCTTCTAAGAGATGCATAACACTAACCTCTTCTTTTCATTAAGATGATTGAATATGGAATTACTTGACCATGGAGCGATCTCTCGCTGTATGATTCTTAGTAAGGCTACCTACTTTCCCACGCCTTAGGGTATGAAAATGCCTAAGAAGTCTAAATGGTGTCCACGATGGCCACTAGGACCATGTAAAGCATATCCTACCTTGTGCCGGCAGCGCACATAGGTTCCAGCTCGGGTTGGCATAGCAGCATGGGTTCAAAAGTCAAGACCACCTTGCAGACATGCACTAGCATATATACCACACTTGCTACTCTAAGTGTTTAATATTCCTAAATTTACAGCCTCAGACGGGATAGGTTGCGCTCAGGGAGCATAGCAAACGAGGAATTCAAGCTCTCTTCACTGGCTGTAATTGCACGCAAACAAAACGGCCGCGGCGGTCACCCATCCATCGCCGCGCCGTACAATTGCTAGGTCTGATTCATCTGCACAGCATTTCATAACACGCTTATTTATAGAGCTCTTAATTAGGTCGTAAACACCATCTCAGCTGAGTTAAAGACTTTTCGGCATTTGCTACATTTCGTTCAGAAACCATTATAAATTACCTCAAAGTTATAAATTCGTATAGTTCATAAAGGACCACGCAGAGAGTGAGAGGGTATGCGCCGGTGCTCGGGCGTTATGTCTGCTGAAGCAGACCGTTGCCGTTTAATGTGTACAGCTCGAATCTGTGCCAGAGCACACTGAATGAAAAATTAGTGATACATAAGTCAAAACTGCAGTCAAAAGGATGGCACGTGCAGGCTCAGAGAGGGCATTGGTTCAACAGAATTGCTTTTTCTGTACCTAAGAATTACCATTCGGAGTGTACTTAAAAAGGAAATAGGATTTTATTTATTTATTTTTATTTTATTTATTTATATATTTATTTTATTTATTAGGTACTGAAAAGCTAGATATCTGCATGGGAAACGTAAAAATAATATTATAATATTACAGTACCCAAGTTTATTATGTTATGACTAAAACCAACAGAACAGAAGAGGTCGTGTAATATTTAAGACTTTGACACGGATTTCTAAGAAAAACGTAAACGAAGCCTAGATGCTGGTCGCATGTGAATTACGGTACTGGTGTGCGAGTGGGAATAAAAATAAGCCCGCCGTCATACATCCTCTTGGATCACATACCTAAGAAAGAAAAGAATTATTAATGTCGAGTGAAATAGAAATAAATAAACGATCGAGGATCTAGGAATTTTTTTCACAGTAAAGAATATAATGGATATTGAGTCTACCTAGTGACCTGAGCGCGCAGCAGTGTAGAAGTCACTGGTGTACAATACCGCTCACAGAATGTGAAAAAATGACGGTGATTGACAGTCGCGACTGTCAAAGACCGTCGCACTACCATAACTCCGCTGAAGAGCGAATGAAACGGAAAAATTCAAAGCCCTATAGATACGTCTCCACACAACGAGTTCCAGGATGTGTTATAGGTCGGGATCGGGTAGTCACTGGAAAACAATTTGTATATTGTCGAGTAGCATTCATCGTGCTGAGCACAACTATACAAATTGCAACAGTAGTTCTAACCCCTCTGTCCATGAAAAATGATTTCAAAGGTGGAAGTATTGCCTCTTGTCTTATTAAAGCGGACGCGTGTTCATAAACAATTATGTCATTATAGCGAACAATGCGACGTTTTCTTCAGAACGTAAGTTCCTTCGTTGGTCCATCCTTCGCAAGAACGCAATTTCGGAAGGAAAAGGATGGTGATTCTGTTCGTTGAGTGTGACGTATACCGATTTTCAGAGCTAAATTATATAAGAACCGCTTTGCTGCATTCCAATAAACAACAAAGTTGTTGCGCAGTTACATACCTAGTTCAAGATCTTGTAGCCGTTTCGTCGTATTTCCTCCAGACTTTGATGAAATACGCTTTCAAAATTTGGAAATGTCGTAAAATTGAAGAGCTCGTTCGCATCGGGAACGACTGTGAAACATGGATAAAAATGCATCAAAAAAGGAGGAGTGTGCGAGCGGTAGACTACTGTGCACATAAACATGGGATCTAACGAATGGTGTTCTACCTTGAGGTCAGAATTGGATTTTGCCCCAGCTTAAAAGGTAAAGCTGGTGACCTACTTAACCGATCCCGACCTATAACACATCCTGGAACTCGTTGTGTGGAGACGTATCTATAGGGAGTTTAAATTTTTCCGTTTCATTCGCTCTCAGCGGAGTTATGGTAGTGCGACGGTCTTTCACAGTCGCGACTGTCAATCACCGTCATTTTTTCACATTCTGTGAGCGGTATTGTATGCTTCCTTATAAAATACTACCAACTACTCGACCATAGAGGATGGGGAGCTGGTATAGTTCAGGCGGTCGGTAAGCATTTCGAACCCCCGATAATGCTTATGGTAGTCATGCAAATGGTGGTACTACGGGCAAGATGGAAACTAAACCAA